GGGCGGGGCCGCCGAGCCGCGGACGAGCCCCGAGGCCTCCTGGGAGCGGAAGTGCGGGGGCCGCCGGAAGTGGTCGTCGTCGCCAACCCGCAGACCCGCTGACAGACTTTGACAGCCGCCGGGGCCGCGGCCAGGGCTTGGGGGGCCATGGAATTGGGCGAGCTGCTCTACAACAAGTCCGAGTACATCGAGACGGTGCGTGTGTCCCGAAGGCGGCCCCCCGCTTTCCAGGCCTGTGTCCCTTGGAGGGCGGTGCCCCCGTCCTGTCCCCAGCCCCACCGCGGCGGGTCCCTGGGCCGTGGATGGGCTTGGATGGATGGTCTGGCTTTGTTATTTTTTTCCTTGCGTGGCCAGTTTAGGCTTTTCTATTCTTTTCTGATTTCCTCGCAAGTTACAACGCCTTCCAGACCGCAGCACAAGCCTCATCCATCTAATATCAATGACAGCTCCAGGCGTTGGGCTTCTAATAACCTATTTTTGAGAACTAACCGTCGCTATTTATCACTATGTGCTAAAGACTGTTAGGTTCTTTATAATCAATATGTGTTGTGTGTAAGTTGCTCAATCAGCGCTGCTACTATTATTTAGTTTTTCACTGAATTCTCATAATTTTATGTTATTGGTAAAGCCGTTATCCTGGGTTCAGGGCTGTAAAACCGAGGTATAGAATTGGGACCTGGATCCCCGTCTCTGATGGCGCTAGGCTGTAGACAGATCCACTACATCCAAATTCTGGGTCCATTCCTTGAATCTCTAGTTTCCTGATCCATCCCTGATTTTTCTATATCCCGGACTCATTCCATTGAAGACTACACCCCATTTCAAGTACTTTTCTCTCCAATATGAGCTTTCCTGATGCAAACCTGCGGCCAAGAACGCACTCAGTTTGCTCACTCTTCTTTGCTGCTGTTTCCTTTCAGGCGTCGGGGAACAAAGTTAGCCGCCAGTCAGTGCTGTGTGGAAGTCAGAACATCGTTCTCAATGGCAAGGTAAGGGGCGAAGCCAGCGCCAGGATGCATACCTTTCCTTTCTTTCCACAAATTATCACATGAGTAAGGCAGATAAAATGTTGTCAGGCCTCCTGTTTATTGCTGCACATTTAAAAAATCATCTTTATTTTTTTTTCATTCTCCAAGTTGGATTTACTGAATACAAAAAAAATTTAATAAAAGAAGGCAACAGAAAGCCTTTTTCCTTTTATGCCAGAAACAAAATACAGTGGTACCCCAAACTGAAATTGCTGTACAGTATCATAGTGTGCCCTAAACTGTTGGACACAAAACATAAATAGGTAACAAAATATTTTAGTGCAGAAACTAAAGTAGTACTAACATAATTATCTGTTTAATGATTTTGTATTAACTGAAACTCTTAAAATTAAGGTAAGAATTTGGAAAGATACTACAATATGAGGCAAATTTGCAAAATGGAATATGGAAGGCTCAGAATCTTGTCTGAATAAATTGAAGTAGATGAGTATAAGCCTGGGACTAATATTAGAACATTTCAGAACCAGAGAAAATATCAAGATATATTTGCACTTGATGACACGGGAGTCTATTTGTTTCCTACCATGTGGAATAACCTCCAGAGGGAAAATAGTTGCTGTAATCAGAAGATCGCAGGTATTTTCAGTAGAGACTCAGTCACTGCCTCCATTAGCCCCTGACATCACGAGATTTAATGGAAGAGATATATAGTTCAGACTTAGGTATGATTAGGAATTATAAACACTGCTTTTGCACAGAATTAGGAAGTTCAATTAACTCCATCTGACTCTTTAATTCCAAAACATTCTCTGTGATTTGGCAGAGATTTTATTTTTATTGTGGTAATACAGCTATGACACAATTTGTTGCTTTAACCATTTTACGTGTGCAGTTCATTGGCTTTAATTATAGTCAGTGTTGTACAACCATCACCACCCTTTCTCCAAAATTCTTCCATTACCCGGACAGAAACTCTGTACTTGTTAAGGAATAATTCTCATTCCCATTTCCCCACAGTTCCTGGTCACCTCAGTCTATCTTCTGTTTCTACGAGTTTGCCTGTTCTAGATATTTTATTTAAGTGGAGTCATACTATATTTGTACTTTTCTTGGTCTGGCTTATTTCACTTGGCATAATGTGTTCAAGATTCATCCATGTAAGATATATCAGAATTATGGGTTTTTTTTTTCCGTGACTGGATGATATTCTGTTGCAGGCATAGATCACACTTTGTCACACTTTGTTTATCCATTCTTCTGTCGGTAGAAGGATGGGTGGTTTCCGCCTTGTGGAGGTTGTGGGCAACACTGTAATGAACGTGGTGCTGCAGTATCTGTTGGAGTCAGTTTTCAGTTCCTTCGGCTATATACCTAGGAGTGGTAATTCTGTGTTTACCTTTGTGACTTTGTAACTGTTTTCCACAAGGGCTGAACCATTTTGCATCCCCACTGCCACGCAGGAGAGTACCAACTTCTCCGAATCCTCCCCAACACTTGTCATTTTCCGTTTTTTGGATGTGGAGATGAAAGGTATCTCATTGCGGTTTTGATTTGCATTTCCTCAATGACTAAGGATAAACATCTATTCATGTGCTTATTGGCCATTTGTATTCTTCCTTGGAGAAATGTCTATTCAGTCCTTTACCCATTTTTAAATTGTATTGTCTTTGTTGCTGACTTGTAGGAGTTCTCTACATGTTCTGGATATTAAATCTTTACGTATGATTGTATATACTTTCTACCATTCTGTAGTTTTTTTACTTTCTTGATAATGTCTTTTGATGAACAAAAGGTTTTAATTTGGATGAAGCCAAATTTATCTATTTTTTCTTTTATCACTCAAGTTTTTGTTGTCATATATAAGCAACCATCGCCAAACCCAAGGTCATGAAGATTTACTCCTATTTTTTCTTTTAGTGCTTTATGGTTTTAGTGCTTATATTTAGGTCATTGTTTCATTTTGAGTTAATTTACATTTATAGTGTGATGTAGAGGTCTTAATTAATTAATTGGAAGTCCAGTTTTCCCAGTACCATTTGTTAAAGAGACTGCTCCTTCCCCATTGAATGGTCTTGGCTCCGTTGTAGAAAATCAGTTGGCCATAGATGTGTGGGTTGATTTGTGGACCCTCAGTTCTGTTCCATTGGTCGTTATGTCTGTTCTTACGTCAGCACTATACTGTTTTGGTTACTGTAGCTTTGTAGTAACTTTTGAGTCCTCCACCTTTGTTCTTTTTCAAGATTAATTTGGTTGTTCAGGCCGTCTGTTTCTTTTTAAAAAGGTGTTTCGTTTGGCAATATTTGGCACATACAAAAGAGTAGTTAACATATATATGTATTGTGAAGCATAAAAATGAAGTCAACACTGTGAACCCAGCACCCAGCTGTGGAGCTGGGACATGATGCGTAGCAATACAGTGCCACCTTCGTGTTCCTCTCCCACCCCTTTCTTTGCCTTGATCCAAGAGGGAACCACCATCCTGAATCTCGTGTCTTATCAATCCTTCCTTTGAAAAAAAGTTTTGTCACGTACTTAGGTATCCCTGGATAATACATGTTTAGCTTTATTTGGTTTTCTATGACTTACTTTTGTTTACACACAATTATAATAATGACAACAAAAAATGTGTATCGCACTATCCATTTTTAAGATTCGTTGTAGTGTGTGCATTTTCACAGCTGTATACAATTCCTGTCAGTGGATAGGAATTTTGTGTCTGATTTTTTGCTATTATGAACAATCCACATGTGTTCCCAGCCCCTGTCCCTTTCAGGATTTTGACATTTCTGTTTTCCTGAGCCCTTATATCAGGTGTCACAGCACCTGCAGGGTTAGATCATATAAGTAAAGATGGGGCATAAAAATGGAGTCGTGGGCTTAGTGGATGGGAGGATGCGTGCCACCCAAGCCAGTCGTTGCCTTGTGAGAATATGGGCCTGTATTTCCCTAATGTCATCTCATCCTCAGTTCACGTTCAGTCCTTCCAGCATCTCAAGATGTTTTTATGGTTGGTTGGTTCAAATCAGCATCCAAACTGGGTCTCCAATCACAAAGTTACCCCATGTGACAGAACACGTGACTCCGTAGGTCCCCGCGTGACTCCCTCTCGGTGTCTCGTCCCCTGCTCCGTTTTGCTGTGCGTCAGCTGTGCCGGCAGCTTTCTGTGTGTGCCTTGTTTACAGACCGTCGTGATGAACGACTGCATTATCCGGGGGGATCTGGCGAATGTCAGGGTTGGACGTCACTGCGTTGTGAAAAGTCGGAGTGTCATAAGGCCACCGTTCAAGAAATTCAGCAAAGGGTATGTAATTGAATTATCTCGTTTCAGCCTTGGGGGGCTGCTGCTCCTGGTGTAGATAACACATGTTTTCCAAGTGTTGGGTCGTGGTATAAGGAACAGGCCTGTGCTGTTGTTTGGGACACTGAACAAGGTTTCACCTTAAGGAACACACCCCTGGTGGTGGTTGTCTTGGTCCAGTTGGTGGTTGGTTGCCAGAGACAGAATCCACTACGACAGCAAAGCAAAGGCGTTCTGATTAAACAGACACATGCATGTTTGATGGAATCTAAGGGTAGAAAAAGGGGCCCAGCTTCACCAGGGCCAAACCCTGGAACTGGGCGGCCGGCCAGAATCAAGCCACCTGTTCTGTCTGTCTGCCACTCCCTGTTTCCGATCGTACTGTCTGTCTGTCTTTCTCTCTGCATTTCCGCTTCCCTCTCCTCTCTCCTGGGTTGGCTGTATTTTCCCCGTTTCCTCCTGGGCCAGCCATGCTGCCTTAGCCCCTTGTTTATAGCACTTCTACATTTAGTTTCCAACAGGTACAACTAGAGGTATTGTGCAGGCATACTCCCACATCTCCCATAGCCATGCTGGCCTCCAGGGGTCCCCTGACATACTGGGCTCGGCGCCGGGAGCCACTGGAGGTCGTTCACAGGGAGGGTACGCTCACTGGGTCCGAGGCTCCTGCAGGGAAACATAAAACCTCGTGGTTTCACAGAGTGACCCATACTCTGCCAGAGGTGTCGACCCTACCTTCTGATAAAGGCGCTGCCGGGCTAGATGCGGTCCAGGAAAAGCACGGTTGTCGGTGGCGGAGGGATGTGTAAAGAATAGCGCACGTGAGAGGTTACATAGAAATAGGAAGCTACAAGGAGCGCCCCTGAACAGAAAGTGGACATGGGCTTCCCCGTGCGTGTTGCTGTGCCAGACTAGGCAACGCACAAAGTTGGGAATGTAATTTGAAACGGAGAACTGGCGGTACTGCCGTAGATCGTGAGGAACTCGAGGACGCCATTGCCACGCAGGGAGCACAGACTACAGACACGAGTGCATCAGGGAAGGTTTAAAGACACCCTAGGTCCGTGGAGGACAGATGGCGTCTCTGACAGAACACTCGTGACGACAGCCAGGGAGCACCCAGCTGCTGTACACGCACCCCAGTCCACATAGCTTCTGTCCACAGTGCTGAAGTCTTCTGTAAACGGGGCCGTGGCACCCTGTCAGCGACATTCGAAGAGTCCTGCACGTCGGGACCATGTCAGAAGTCTGGAGGAGGCCTGCTAACCCCCGCTCGTCCTTCAGGTCTTGGCCTGTGTGCCGCCTTCAGCGAAGCCTCCCCCAGCCTCCAGGCTGCGTGGTCCCTTGTCATGTGCTCACACGACGTGGTCTTCCTCTGCGGCACTTTCACGGTTGCAGCTAATTCCTGTGTAATCATTTGCTTCTCATCCAGTCCTGACTGTGGCCCCCCCGCCAGGGTCGCATCCCATTGGTCGCCGTCACAGCCCCAGGTCCTAGCAGAGCATGTGGCATATCGCAGGCACCCACGGAGAACAGTGAATGTGTACGTTTTCAGAACATCGGGTGCTTGAATCCGTAGCCCATGAACCTGACGTCAGTCCCCTGACACATTCTAGAGCAGATCACTGACACTGATCCGTGAGCGTTTGCAAAGGAGCAGGAAGGAACAAACACTCATTCATTTTGACTTGGCGCCAGTTCTTTTAGCTTTGAAAGTCTCGCCCCTGCTGCCTCGCTGTTTCTTTGCCCATTTCTTGGTCTGATGTTTCTGATTTTGAGCTCGTAGTCCCTTTCCTCTCCCACGTCATAGCCTCTCTATAGCCTGAGGATTCTTTCCTTGCTGGGAACAGTCACTGAGACAGGATGCCGCGGTCCGGATCACAGCCTGCAGTTCCGCGAGTTCCGACCAGGCATTCGGCCTTGACCTCCCTTGTTCATCTTCTCTTCCCGTAGTGTCGCGTTCTTCCCTTTACACATCGGGGACCACGTTTTCATTGAGGAGGATTGTGTGGTCAACGCAGCTCAGATCGGCTCTTACGTCCACGTCGGCAAGAACTGCGTGATTGTGAGTATGGCAGCTCAGCTGGCCCAGTGGCCTCACTTCCTGCCCAGCTCCCGTCCCCCACAGCAGAGGGCCTCTGCTTCTGAGTGCAGGCAGTGTAGTAGCGTCTGGCCTGCTGGATTATTATTGGGTTTGGAGCGTCTTCTAGGCATCGGTAATCACAGCTCATCCTTACCGAACGTCTTCCACATGATGTTGAACCCGACCCTTTGGTTTTTCTCATTTACTCTTCACAGCCGTCGCCCTCACAACCAGGGTGGTGGGTGCCGTTATGACCCTCCCTGCAGAGGACAAGACCGAAGACCTTAGATGTTAGGGGAGTCGACGAGGCTCTGAGGTGGTAGAGCTGGGATTTGCACCGAGGCGGTGCTAATGGCTGTGCTGCGGTCTGGCCTCCCTGTTGCCGTACCCCAGGGAACTCCCAGTCTGGTGGAGTGAGGCGCCAGCTGCCTGCTCTGAGTAAGACTCGGACCCTGAAGTACCCAGAGACTCGCAGCAGACCCGCAGATAGCGCTCCAGGAGCCACAGGGCCACGGTGCTGCGAAAACATTCCAGCCTGACCCGAGGCTCAGTTCTGGGCGGCGGCCGTTCTGCCGGTATCCCCTCAGAGGCCCCGAGTACGTATTCAACACAGAAGGTCTTTGGCTGGGCCCGCCATTGAGGAAGGGGGAGGAAAGTGAAGTCGGTCCCGTCCCCTCACGCCGTTTGACAAGGCTGGCTTTCCACGCCACAGCTGTGTTTTTCTGAGGATTCCCTCAGCAAAGTGGACACACCAGCAGAGCAGCACTCATTCCCAGAGCGGAGAGCCTGCAGGGTTAACACCCATGTGCTGTCCCCGAGCTTGGGGAACTCCGGTCCTGTTGCCTGTGCCTCTTGCCATTGACTCGCGACATCGTCGCTCAGTATTGGTGGTCCTTGGTTCCTGAGCCTTTATAGAGTCCCCAGTCATCTCGGGAGAAAGGTTCTTCCTCAGAGCTAGCAGCCCCATGTCACGGAGATCCTCCCACAGCATCCTGCGTGGCAGCCGGCTTCTCTGGCTGCGTGAAGGCGGACCTGTGAGCCGGAGCTGCCAGGGGCCCGGGCTGCAGGCAGTTGTGGTGGCCCCTGCCGTTGTGCTCCGTGTGCACGTGGGCCATTCGGCCCTGGCAGCACCCCTGCCCTTTGGTTTTACGGCCTGTTTCACAGATGCGGAAGCCAAAGCTCAGGGATGCTAAGCAGGCTGCATCAGGAGGCACAGGTGGCTTAATGGTGCCGCCTGTGGGTCTGGACCTCTCTGTGGAAGATCCTCCAGGAAAGAATAAAGAAGTTTCAGCTTTTAACCTCCTCAGCTATTGCCAATCCATCATGTCTAAGAAGTGCCTACATTTTTTTTTCTGCTGTTAATTTATTGATCAGTTTACCCAGAGCGCTCTGAAACCCAATTGAGATCATATCTCTGAGTGAGCAGACTGGCCAACGAGTGGACAAAGCAGGTACTTACAGGCTGTGTGGCTCTGGTGGCACAGAGAGAAGATGCCCACCGTTCCTTTCCAGGCTGTTGAGTACAGACCCCCGTAGGTGGGTGTGTCATGCCTTGTACAGCACTTCCTGTTTCCTTCTGCTCGGTGCCCCATGTGCTTAGTCTGAATTATTAGGAGGTCAGATGTCGTCTTCGCGTTGATTCGGGCCTCCCCAGGGGGCTGGCGAACTGCTGGAGTTTTGAAGTTGCCAATAGCAGGTAATTCATAGGAGAGAACTTTGCAAGGAGTGAAGAGCTGCCGTCATGACTGACTTCTGATCTGAAGACGTGGCCAGTTACCGCCAAGGCCATTATCCACCCAGCTGAGACAACCTAGTAGTCATTGAAGAGATTCAGACCTTACAGGTATAAGCCTTGTGAAAGCAATCATTTGACGATCTACGTGGGAATTCCCAGAAATACATGTTTGGGTATTTAATGGGAAAATTTGAACACCAACAAATCCAAGTATTTTTCCTCTTCTTTGGTAAAATTTGAGATCGGGACGAGTTAGCATTGTCCTGGGTTTGTTAGGGGTTCCCTGTTCTCAGTCAGGTACACTGTGTCAGGGTGTGTGACCAGAACACATGGAATATAGGCCCTGGGGATGGAAACGCAGCTCAGGTCGGTAGAGAAACGACATTTAGAGCCGAGAGTCGGGAGCACAGCTCCAAACTACACAAGCCTCTTTTCGCCCTTACCTGTGACGCTGCTGACCCCCGACCTTGCCTCAGCGCTGGGGGTGATAGCAGAGCTGAAAGATGGCAGTGGATAAAGCCGAGCTTATGGTTCAGCCCAAACCTGCAGAACACACGGATGGGCTGCCACGGACCACGGGTGTGGGAGCGGGCCCTGATTCCAGGCCCAGTGGCTCTGGGCCTCGGTTGCTGGCATGAAGATCTGTCTCCTTTCCATTTTCCTCTGGGGGGCTCTCAGGCAGAGTCTCCGTCATGGAAGCGAGGTGGCCAGTCCCAGCTTCCACCCTGCACCCCAGAAACTCCATCGAAAAGAGCTTCTTTACCAGTGATCTCAGCAGAAGCTCCGATGCTGAGACTCATCGGACTGATGTGGTGCAGATGCAGACTCCCTCGCCAGTCTCCATGGCCAGCGTGGGGTGGGGCTGGAGCACAGGGCAGACATAGCGCTAGGGGGGTTCCCAAGGAGCGTACAGGAGAGTTCAGGAAAGGACAGTGGATATTGGACAAGCGAAGGAACAGATGTCTGCTAAATTCGATAAAGGAAAAGGAAAATTAAACAGAATCCTTGGAAAACCAAATTTCACATAGTCTGTAATGCCTAAGATAACCTGAACTATCTTGGCATGCAAGCCCTGCCCGAAATGTGTATGCACACGTGCGTGCACACGCACACGCACACCAACTCCTCCTGCTTGGCAGGTCCCATCTGAAGTAGAGAATTGTGGCCACTTCTCTTGTCACTATTCCTGGCTATTATATGACATCGTGAATGGAGAAAGTGTAACATGGCCTTCCACACAGCAGACGAGACGACTTCACTCCCGTTCCCTTATCTACACCCCAGTAACAAGGTTTTAATTTCAGGGGCGCCGGTGCGTGCTGAAAGACTGCTGCAGAATTCTCGACAACACGGTATTACCCCCAGAGACTGTGGTCCCCCCGTTCACCGTCTTCTCAGGCTGCCCAGGTAACCTTGGGTGTTGATTCTTACAACTCCAGTTCATTTTCCTTTACAAAAGTAATGCCTGCAATTTCTGGCTCTGACAGTGCATGTGTGTCTAGCTAACTTAAAACTTCTGTTACAGAGTACCTATGAATACTATCTAAAACACGACAAGTATCTTTTTAAATGCATAACAGGATAAAGAAGTTGTCAAGGGTAGGAAGCAAAGAGGAAGACTAACCAGATGCTGTGACGATGCTTCGGCTGATGCCGTCCCCAGTATAGAGTAGCTCAGGGTTGGACATCGTGCGGGGCTGAGAGAACACCGTGCACCCACACGTGGCACAGACCCCCTCGAAGGGTTACCCTGCAGTAGGTGATGTAGAACAGGCCTGCGCCCGGCACAGGAAGAGCACAGAGAAGCCTGGGCTCTGGGTGGAAAAGAAAGTCTCCGGGTCATTCTGAGCACAGCCTTGCCCTCTGGGTGGCTGGAGTTTGAGCCTATACTTCCCGCCCTGCCCAAGAACGCCCGAGTCACAGGGTTAACAGAACGTGGGCTGAGACCACTGGAGCTGTGGGCCACGTGAGGGCAGCTCACACGTCACTTTTGGACTTTGGCTGGCAGAGTGCCCTTGGGTACAGCCCCTCGTGAGCTCAGAGTCCCCAGTGATACAGCATGTGAGGAAACACTGAAAATCAAAGGAGGACCAAGACCCCACCCCACCCTGGGACAGCTTCTTCACACACCGTTCCACACACTTGCAGTCACGTGATACACTCAGAGGCACGTCCCAGATTCACATGGAGGGTCATACGAAGAGAGAGTCACAGTCTGCGATGCCTACCACTGGGAGGTTTAATTGCTTTTCCAGTTAAAACAAGTCTCGTTACTCAGATCATTGGGTGCGAGGTGTACAGCATCGTCCACTAGGGTTCCCTGGGGAGTAACTGGCCATTCTGCCTTTTCGTGCGCCTCTGCGTTTGCAGAGCGGGGAGAGGCTTATTCAGTAAGTCTCCCCTTCTTGGGTTCCCGCCACGAGAAAGCGTCATTGTTCTTAGCGAGTGTGAGCTTGGATGGTCAGTGTGACCTGAGGCAACAGGTGTATGGCTGGAGGACTCTCTTAATCTTTCTTAAGTTACCGAAGATCCTTAAGTGGACTCACGCTGACCGAACACAGACGGCAGAAGGCAGGGGACCACTGCTATGTGTTTCCAACCCACACAGACACTGGATTTGGAGGTTCTGGTGAAGGATTCACCTTAGAGACCATTGCGTGAGAAAATAGGCGTAGAGAAGATGGGTCGTCCGGGGCGTCAGCCTCTCAGCGAGAGGGCCTTGACTGGCCCTGAGACCCCTCATGTGGAATCCAGTCCTCTTGGCACTGTGAGGACACGCCTCCTGTCCATGTAGTTTCACAAGTGCTCACCATCTAGAGGCTGCTGTTGGCCACGTCCATCTTTAACGGAGAGGCTCTGGGTTGCAGGAAGGCCGGCACGTTTTTGGAGGCCCCATGGCACGCAGCTATGTTAGGGAACGGATCGAAAGGTGCACCATCCAGAAAGAGCCTGGGCTGGGAACCCAAACCTCGGGCCCCGGGAACCAGGCAGGTCATGCGAATGGCTGAATGGCCTATCGTAGCTGTTCAGGAGTGCGAGCCTGGTGTTATGAGCCCTTCTGGTATTGCATGAGAGCTAAAGATCTGAATTTTTAAGCATTGGCTACTGATTTTTAAGGAAGATTAAATACTGTGCAGTCTAAACATGTCTGCAAATCTAACATGGACTACTAGTTTGTAAAAGGTGCCCATGAGAATTTTGTGTTTTTATACCACTTTTTTCTGTTCTTGTTATTTTCTCTACATATGTGTACAAGCAGGTTTGTGTGTGTTTATATACACATGAGTATATAGGTTCGTGTGTTTATACGGATATACGAGACTATACATACATCACAGTTAGGAAACTCGCCTTTTCCTTGCCAGCAGGCAGAGAGTCACCTGGTTCCTTTTAAGGGTTGTGTGTTTTTCGCTGCGTAAGTGTCCCACAGTGTAGCCAGTCGGTGCCCTGGTATAGAAGGTCGTTAGAAATCACACGGCACCTGGTTTTTCACGATTAGACACTGCTGCACTGGCGCTCCTGTCCATGTGTCACGACTGGGCGACATTATCTGTGGAACAAGTCCTTCGAAGCTAAATTGTCAGGTCGCAGGACACGAACTTTTAAAAGCTTTGCCAGGTGCTCCTACGTCGCTCTTGAGAGCATTCGTAAGCGTTATAGTTCTTTAGTTCGCTGGCCCATCTCCGTTGGGTGGTTCTGTTCTGCTCCCGCCATCATGGGCCTGTATCTGGCACGTGCGGGCGTGGCGTTCGGTCTCACTGTGAACAGGGCAGTTTCTTACCTCGGGCACCCACTTAGGCTTGCCTAGCAGGTGCCACAGCAGAGCCCAAGGTGTGGCCCAGTCCTTTCCGGACGCTGTCTGGTGTGGGCAGAGACGCCTTAACCTGCTCAGGCCTCGCAGCGCCATGCCCACCTCTCACCTGGAAGGGGCTTCTCCACCTTGGGAGTGGTGCTCTGTGTCCCCCACACTCAGGCTCACGTCACCTAGGAGACATGGTCAGTGGAAATACTTTGTTGGCACCTAAGATGGACACCTAGCATTCTGGCATTCACCGCTCAAGGGAGGGCTTCGGCAGGGGCCAGAGCCACAGGCCTGCCTGGCTTGTGACCGCAGGAGCCAGAGCTGCAGGCCTGCCTGGCCTTGCAATGACCAGTCTTTCTTTCCCCAGGACTCTTCTCGGGCGAGCTCCCAGAATGTACCCAGGAGCTGATGATCGACGTCACCAAAAGCTACTACCAGAAGTTTCTGCCCTTGACTCAGGTCTGATGTCTCTGCCTCACACCCTGAATTCGCTTGGGCTCTAAGATGAACTCGGGGACAAAGCGAGCCGGTCCGCATTGGCCGAGCTCCGTGTCGTTGACTCTTGCCTTCCTTTGTCATCGTCGTTGGCTTTCTGATTCTTTAGAGTTCTCAGCCCTCCCAGGCCCTGAGCTCTTCAGACTTTCATAATAGAACGTTGGGGTTGTCTCCAAATGCGGTGCTTCAGGTGTCTCTTTTGACAGTCGCGTCATACTGTGATTTGTGGGACAAAGTCATCTGTTCCCAGCTCTCCTTCCCTTGGTCCTGCGGGTGGCTGGGTCCTACCTGAAACAGGCCGCAGAGCAGAGCGCCCTGCCCCACGTGGCGGGCACGCCACTGCCGCGCTACCTACGTCACCCATCCCCTCCCCACTGCCGGCACCACTCACCAGGGTCACGCTCAGCTTCCCGGCCGCTGGCATGTTTGATCAGTTGTCACAGTTGCTCATAATCTTGGAGGGAAAAAATGTGTGTGGCTTTTTAGAGCCCAGCTTCGTTTGGCTACTGAACCTTGAAGGGAGGGGTGGTTAGTATCTCTCCTTTCCCGAGGGACCTTAACTGTCATTTAACCAAGGGAACTCAGAGGAGACTTTGTAGCATTCTGTTTTGTTCTAGGCTTTTGGTGTTTACTGAAAGGGGGGCCCTTAGCACCCAGTTTTATTTTTGCGAAGTCCTAGATTTGAGGTGCCCATGTGGATGGCTGGTCTGGCAGCCTCTCCTTGCCTCAGGAATTTGGGGTCACAGGATGCACCTTGTCTCACTGATTTCACTGAAGACAAAGCGTGACCTTGTTCCCGGGCCCTGAACCAACTGTTGCCCGCCCACATCTGCTGTAACCCTCACCGTCTGGACCGGGTGTCTGCACGTGGGCCCAGTCACGTGTCCACATGGGGGCCTCTTGGAACCATTCTGCGGGCACGGAGCCACGAGCAGCGAGTTGCCAGGGCCACTCGTGCCGTCCTCTGGGGGACAGCATAACCCTTCTTGGCCCGGCTCTGACCTCTTGGCTTAGGAGGAGGACTTAGAAGTGAAGGTCCGAGAAGACTGGCCTTGCTTAGGTCCGAGTCGTCGGTGAGTGGGTGGGTCGGCGCAGTCTTGAAGGCCGAGGTCGAGCAAGAGTGTCTCGACTCAATACCCAGCTGTGGGGTTTGCAGAATCAGCTAACGTAGTTCTCGCCACTCAGTTCAGTTTAAAACTGCTTGGTTTGTCATTGTTTTTTATGTTGTGCATTAAAAGATTGACAAGCGAAATAAGTCATTTTAAGGTGGTCACTCTCCCCTCGGGCACTCAGTCTCGTTCACATGTATGGATGAAAACTAATGTTATTGGTTGAGGCCCTTGCTTAGAATCTGGCCCTGCAACAGTGGGTGCACAGTGGATGTGTGGGAGCTGGTTCCTGAAGGGGCCTGTGCAGGAAGGAGTTAACGCTGAGGGCCTGCAAGAGCGTAACCCTGTAAATGCTGAACTCACTGCTGGGGTGTGCGTGAGTTTGCCGTGAGCAAAGGGGGACGTTTTTAAAGATGGCTTTGTATTTTGTGGCTATTGTATTCGGATATATGATAGTTAATTTAACATGTTTACAATTTCATAAATACTAGAGGGATCATCCCAATCAAAGGAAGATGCAGTAAAATAAAATCAAGACGGTATTGGCGGGAATATAGCTTTCTTGCATTTTGCTACCAGTAAACTAGGATTTAAATTCTTCGGATACTGGAACCAGAACGAGTCTCCGTAACCGGTGATTTCTGCTGTGATCTGTGTCTGTCGGAGCCCCTGCAGAGAGGGAGACAGCATGAAAAGAGAGGCAAGTGCTGTATGGAAATACACATTTGGAATTTGAAAAGCAGTTAAATTGCTAATGAGCCCTTTCTGAAATCAAATGTCTGACCCATATTGGCTGATGAACGCCTAGTCTGGCATGCTATTTTTGAGTGGGTCAGTTCGGACTCTAAGATGGACAAGATACAAAGGAAGCCTGGCTTGTCACTTGGACTTGGTCCATGGCTGGCTGGCACTGCCGGAGGCAAGCAGCTGGCTCATTCGGAATCCCAGATTCACTGATCCTGATTGCCAGGGCCTGACCGGAAGCTAAAAACAGACTGGCTGCCATGTGCTGTCCCAGCCTCATTGCCAGCTGTGCCCCAGACCAGGCCTCGGGAACCACTACAGACTAGGCCCGTCTGAATTATGAAAACAGCATTGCGGATGCTGGCCGGACCAGCTGGGTTACATCAAGAGCCTGCAGCACAGGGCCTGTTCTCCAATGGTACCATCTAAAACCACGCAGCTGGCTGGCTCTCTGCTCAGATGCAGAGGCTGACTGCATCCTGACCGGTGATCCCTGCCAAGCACTGCCAGGCGGGGGAGGCCACATCCCAGGGACCGTGACCACTCCTGCTGCTTTTGACAGATCAGCCTCTGGGCCTCCCTGGGGAACGTCTCACCAACCGGTTTCTGGATTAGACGTACTCGCCACCGTGTGGCGACAGCCAGACACGGCCTCCTCACTTTCACCGTGGTAAGGTAGGCCGGTCACTCAGACCTCGCTGTCTCTAGGAAGGGATGGTCCCCTCTAGGCTGCCCTCTGGGTAAAGGGGTAGGGGCTTATGCAGACCCATTGTGCAGTTTTTGAAAATTTGGGATTTCATCCTCTATTAGTCTGCCAGGACTGCCATCACAGACACAGATGGGGCGCTTAAGCAGCAGAGATGTCTTCTTTCACAGTTGCGGATGTCGGAAGCTGAAATCAAGGTGTGGGCGGGGCTGCTTTCTCCTGACTCTCCCCTTGGCTTGCAGATGGCCGCTCTCAGGCTGTCCTCACGTGGTCACCCCTCTGTGTTGACTGTGTCCTCCTCTCTTTCTATAAGGACATCTGTCATACTGGATCAGGACCACCCTAATGACCACCTTTTTAACCTCAGTTACTTCTCTAAAGGCCCTCGCTTCCGATATAGCCGTGTGCTGAGGCCCGGGGGTGAGGGCTTCAGCATGTGACTTTGGAGAGAGGACAGTTCAGCCCATCGCTCGTCCTGACCAGTTCCTGAGCAGGTCTTACTGGCTGAGCGCTTTTAGGCCTTTTGTGTACTGTCCTTCCAGGTGAGGGGCCTGGAATGGGGCAGAGCGGGCG